AAATAAATTAAAATAAAACAGTTTTCTGAAAAGATGGCAGTATATATTATTGTACCTATATATTATAAAAAAAACGTCTAAACCATAAATGCGCACTTATATTAACAATAGTGACGCGTCTCATGGCAATGCGTCGTTCTATAATTTATTTGTATACTATACTTATACCTATGCGGCTATGCTATTAACTTCGAATCTGTCAATAATATATATAGGTGACTGATGTGTGTCTTACATTATAATGGTAATACTCAACAGGCGATGACCAGTTTCGTTGGACCAGAAGTGACGAGGCTCACAAATTTACGTTTAAGGTACATTGCTGTCGCCGTATTCTGTGGTCGCCAGGTCCGTGTTCACCATTTTTTTGTTATTCACTAAATTAAATACTACTGTAATCACACATAACAAAACTGTGAAGTGGTTGAATGTATATATTCAGCTACATTTGGTATATTATGGTAATGGATTATAACCAAACGGTTTACGCGGACCATGGTGAGAGTCACTATAATACATAGTATATACAATACTATATATATACTGCTTATACCTATGTACAAAACTCGTGTTACCGAAATATCTATGAAATGCACAATAACTTAAGTCTTACAAATCGAAAACAGAATCTAGAAACGGACGGATGTTGAAATGTCCAATGGAAATACATACTCTTTAATTATAATTTGCCCTCTATAGCAAGTATACATTCGGTGACCGTGGTTCAAATTGGTCCTTATAATATAGATTAGTATCTAACCCTACATACGTGTATATAATAATTAATCACCGCTAACCGTGATATTTTTCGTCGATAGATAGTATTTGTAGTTTTAAAAGGAAAATCTGTTGTGTTCGAATCCCGACCAAACTGCAGTTATGTATATAGCGTTGTCGTCCGCGAATGTGTATATATGAAACCTCTAAATACTGGACATACTTTCTCACTAAAATTTTCTCCGCCATTCAGAGGATTCAGTTAGTATAGAATGTTTGTATATTTATATAATTTGTTCCCAAAAATGGTCCCTATTTGGAGGTGTCCTCTATTGAGAGGTGTTCTATAGGAAAGATATCTCTGTATAAAATATTAATGGTGGTGAAGTTCAGTGTAGCGATCTTGCACCATATTGTACGAACTTATATTTGGAAAATTTTGTCGTTGACGGTCCGACGAATCGCGTCTCCCATTTTTCGAAGGATCTGAGGGTATGAGAGCGGCACGTTCAAGGCCCAGGCGCACATCAGTCACTTATATAGTTATATGTTTACTGTATACATTTTATTCACTGGTGCCTTGTAAAATTAGACAGTTATTCATATATACGCTTCGACGAACATTATTGGCATAATGGTGTGAATGATTACATTTTTTTTTGACAGTTTTCTATTTTTACTTTCCATACCTACTCTTTATAGGTACATAATATCGTGGGTTCAATGTGTTCGTGATTTTTGAAGAAACGTGGTGGCATTAAAATGTTGTTTCTTTTTCGACCTATCGCTCTACAAAAAAAAAAAAAACAGTATAATATTTCCACTTCAGTATCGATTAACAGTTTCATTTTTCTGGTCGACTCAACAAAACTTATTCGGTGGTAAATATAAGTACACACGATATTATTGGAAAAAAAGTCCGATGACAAGAAAGAACGATGTAACGATTATGTATACAAGTCGAGGTTAAATTAAAGGACCTCAAAGTTTATCTTAGTTAAGTATTTGGTACTGATTGGACTTTGGTATAATAATCAGCGCTTTTTGATGAAAGATTAATTTTGCTTTCTTAGATGGTTGCGTATTGATGCATGTGATTGGGTTTTTTTCTATAAAAATTTTCTTTGAGTCCAGAACATATCATTTTATAATTATAAATGTTAATAGAGAAAAAACATGCATTTGTGGCAGCTGTTCATTGTTATAATTAATAAATGATTAAACAACAAAGAATTGTGTAGGTTAATAGTACAATACGATTTGTTTTAAATTCGTTTTTTTCCTTTTATTTTGACTTTTTGTCTGAGGGCTTTTCTTTTTACCGTTGATCGTGCAAATACATATTCTATTACCTCGGTACTGCAGCAGTTGAGCGTCGTATGCGCTAAAGATAACGTCGTTCGTAACGCGGCCAGACAATATTGCAAACGATGCGTTGATGTTGCTACCGTTATTTGTATATTATAGTAATATATGCATATAACAATGCGCTTGTAATACCTGATTTGGTGTTGAACGTCGATTGCATACCTACAATTTCAAAGAGGCCGTCAGAAATCTGTTACACGATAAGCCGCGACATCGGTTGCTGCTGGCCATGCTATACGAATGTTCTTTCATAGTATAATAAAATAAATGCACTCTCTCGCGGTATTACACTCCACGCCGCGGCCGATCCGTCGCATGTACCTACTTGTAAAGGTTATTCGTTTATGGCTGTCGTATCGTTTGAAATCGATTTAACTGTGATATTGGGAACCCGACACAACTATTATCTGCACCGGTGCGGCACACAGTGTTCCTGAAATAATAATATTATATCTTTAATCTTTAGACGATGTCAGCGCACTATTATTGTTTTCTCTCTCTGACTCACGTGCAACACAGCAGAGTATGAATTGACCAGCTATTAGATATTATAGATAATTATTTTTATTATAAAAAAACATTTAATAACTTTTCATTGCTGTTTTCGATTACCAATAATCCCTCTTAACAAATTTTCCGCGTAAGCCTGCAATGATATAAAATAATATTTCTAGGTGGGTATGTAAAAAGCTCATGTAGTGTGCTGCGTAGAACAGACGTAAGAAACTTAATTAAAAATACGATTTTCCGAAGCAAACAACGCGCAGGGGCCACCTAACATTTTATTTTAAAGCTATAATAATGTCGCAAGGTATACATAAATTAATGTTATACTGCACTTGTACATAATATTATAATACTATTTAATAGGTACCCATATCTGAATGATACAGACATATTGCAGCACAGTGCACACGCTTTCCTTTTACTATAATTGTGAACGGCACGTTGTTGCTACTGATGAAGGCGATACGAGAGTATACCTACCATATATTCTATAATATGATATTATTATATATTTGTCGGACGAATATTTTTTTTGTCGATTTCGTAAAATCTTTTACATGCTGTGCCTCAACAGTTTCTTTGACCGCGTATATTGCTGTATTACGACGTTTATAATATATTTACCTAGGCATATACCATATGATACAACCTATGCGCATTTATAAATCACTGAAATGAAATATCATTCGTACCTTTAGGCATACTATAATAATAAACTGAGAACTGTCCGCGGTACTCTGTAGCTACATATTATTTTTGATGTCCTAATCGAATCCCGTCGTCTATTCGCGCGCAAAGACCCGCCCCGGTCTCGTACACGGTGTGATTCTGTATAGGTACTCGTATAGTATAATAATAATATATATGAACGAATCATATAAATTATGTCATCGGTGTCATTTGTCCGGGAAGCCGCCGCAGATGTTCTTCCGCGGGTCCGCGTGGGCATATTATATATTGTGTATGATAACTTCATTCAACGCGCACTTCTCATTGTGATTGCATTCATCATGATATATAATAATATATATATATATATATAAATACGCCGAAGTTTTTTATATACGATGGCGTCCGAATGACGACGACGCGTATTATACGTGTATATTGTATATACATATACAAACAGAATGAATGGGGAAATCACACGGGCGAGACGCTTCGGTTCTCCTTATATGTATATAATATAACGGCGACGCTTTTTTTTCGGTATATATGTATATAGTAACCACCGATGTGTGCGGAGACTTGGGCAGCGCTTACGACTGATATGTATATACACTCGCACCATCACACCGCGCACGTATATATACATTATACATATATTCGCTTTGTGCGTGTTCTCCCTCGGGGTTGTACCCTCGGCTTTGGGGGTGAGTTCCAGCGGGTGGGGGGCCCGGGTGATTAATGGCGTTGCGACGCAATCACGACCCCGCGCTCCGTCGCCATTAACACAATGCGCGCAGGGATTTTCACCCTCGCGTGCGTGTCTGTCGTCTCGTCTCGTCTCGTCGATATATACGCACCGAAAATGGCCGCTCCCCCTGCATTATATATTTTGTATATGTGGACGAACGAACGAGCAGGCGAGCTCGCGCGCTGCACTCACACACGCACACACGTATATATATATATTTATTATATATAAGCACATGTTACTAATACTGCGAATCAAAAGAAGGAAAACAAACAAAAAAATTATAAAAATGATTTTCCAGTTTACAGAATTGTAACTCGTGACGTTCTCGTGCATCCAATGTACACATGCAGGATTTTTCAGGGTTTACCGCACATGGAATACGGAAAATATGCGTACCTGAGCTTTGAGCACGATCTCACGAGAATATATCTATTATTTATACATGTGTAGGGAGTCGAAAACCTATTTCACTTTTTGTATAGTGCTTTTAAGTTTTATTTCATTTTATTTTATCTCGATGGGAGTTACTAAATCCTTCTCACAATAATTGATAAACATCCATTTTTCATTGAACAACAATTAAAATCTCATGAGATTGCTATATATACCGTATAAAAGTTCCTATTTATTATATCCTTATTAAAAGTTTCTGAGTCGTAAAAACACAGAATTCTGATTCCACTCAAATATGAGGTAATCCTCATGGTTTATACTTCTATCAGGTAAATTTGTGGAAACCATTATCGCTTATTTAGCGCTCACTGCAGCTTGTGCATGTGCAATCTCCTATATTATTTATATACACAAATAATAAAATATTCACTAGAAACATAATTATTACCTATAGGAATTATTATTAGGAGGATGTACCTAATTGTGTTTACCTAATTCTAACTTAATGCAATAATATTCATATACTCTTAAATCATTTTCGAATAATTGTGTCAATCCTAAAGATTTTACCGTGTTATTTAAAAATAATTTTCAGGACGCTGAGATCGTAGAATCCCTCTGGAAAGTCGATTTGGATTATGGAACGTCGGGTGCCACTACTGAAAGTCGAGGTCCTTCTCCTTACAACAGCACCGGCGTTGGATCATTTTTGTCACCTGGAGACGAACCGCCGTCGCGCAACTATACTTTCAGCAGTCCCGGGGCTTCGTCCAATCGCAGATGGTACCTTCCACCTAACTCAAGTGACTTGTTGGCGGGCTCCAGTCCGAATCCGGTAAAAAATTGCGGTGTTTCTTGTATACATCATCTATAATATATAGTATATTATACGGCCACTTATGAAGAAATGTTATTTATGGGCATTAATATTATATGCTCACCGTGTATCTATAATCTATAATCTATATATTATATAATACTATAATAATTTATTATGTTATTTTCCTTAAATATGATTTATTTTTAATCAATTTTCTAGAGCCGATTTGAAGGCGCCAGAAACTCTGATGGAAATCCTTGGGAGGTCGGTAGTTTGTTGGTGGACCTTAGAACTGCAGGTACGTTACATCTTACATGTATTATTAAATAAAATATTTTCTATTCCGATTGTCGTCATACTATCAAGCGTGTGTACAAGTGTTATATGGTTATATATGTCGCAATGTATACGATATTATGTTTCGTTGTGCTTCCCCACTGAGTGGGTGCGCAATTGATCAACGGATTGAGCAACGAGCATAATATTAATGAGTAGCAGACGAACATGTTATTGACACAACGAGTCAACAAATTTGGAAATTGTCTAAATATGATGCCTCGTGCGTATTGTATAACGCAATATAATATGTGAGTTTTTAATATTTATCGACAGCAAACTTGAAAATGAATTCTGATTTTGGAATTTTGTATACGTACATGTATAATGTATATTATTTTGTATATAAGTTCTTTTATTCTATACGAAAAGTTTAACATTATACAATTGATGACAAGAATTCGTATTTATTCAAAGTAAATATACTCATTATTATTTCTTCATTATATTTATTTTCTGAAGTAGCTTTTAAGTATTTTAGATAGGTACTATATAGTTAATTATTGTTTACAAACTTGGTTCTTAAATTTAAACTATTTAAAAGCTTTATAGCTTTAAATAGTGTAACGTCCTCTCTTTTTTCGAATTTTTTTAATTGTCTCAAATAAATGTTCTATTATTATATTCGTGTCAAACAACCACATATAAATATAAACATAAACCTTGTTCTATTAATGAGAGTACATTACATATGTGTATTTATGTATGTATATACACACAAAAATACTTAAGTGTATTTTTTGATGACTTCTTGTATAACAAACTAGCTCATTAGCTCATGACCATTAAGTTTAAATTACTTTAAAAAATCCATGTAACTACATATCATATATTATGTTATATGTCCCAGAAAGATGTTGTGCCCATACTCCTATTTATTTGTGTTCTGGGGGTCGTTGTGTAAGTTTATACGATTATATTTGTTCATAAATTACTTTTTCAGCACCGTCTTTTGGCGGTGGTGGTAACAATATATTATAATTATGTACAAATAAATATATATATATCTATTCCGTGTACGTCACAAGGTGTTGAATAAATTGCGTTGTTGCGCATTATCGAACTCGTTATTTGTATTATATCACATTATACCATTTAGTGCGCCATATCATTGCGGTTCGCATCTTTCTGCATGCGATGATTTTTTTTCTCTATAATATATACCTGTGTATTTCACCTCCATGTTTCACGTACGAACGAAAACAAAATTTCTATTTGCGGTTTTCCAATTTTAAATTAACATTTGAGATTTTCCCGTCGATACGTATTATTATTTATGCGCACTGCTATATATACTCCCGATTTATATACACATTATTATTCCGTTGCGGCTCACCCTTGTGTGCGTGATGTATAAATGCGTGTTGTCGGAATTGAATTTTTCCGCTCGTTCTCCGTGGAAAATGCGTGTTACATAATGCATGAATAAAAACGTTTTATGTATTAAGTGACTCTGGCGTTAGAAAGGGGGGTCAGTGGCGGGTGGTCTGTCGAGGGGGGAGTGTTTGTAATCCTAGGAAGGAAAATGCGGCGGCGTGTTATGAGCGTGTACACTGCCGCCGCCGCCGAAGAGCGTCGTCGCAACGTCATCAATCTTCCGCGTCCGTCCTTTTGTTGTTTACCCGCCGCCGCCGTCTCCGGTCATCCAGGGATGAGTCATTTGTTGGCTATACCCTGGTCCCGGTTTTCTGATATCCGGGCCTTCGCTTATACCACCTAATCCCCCTCCCCTTTCCCCTCTAACCCATCGTGGTATCATCCCCCTGTAGTTCAGTTTTTTTCGATTTTTTTTTTGCCATTTGGCCTCCCCGACGTAATGGAGCGACAGCCGCCAATCCGAGAATAAGTGACGCGTGAGCTATAGGACCCCACAAAAATTCTTCTCCCCTCGAACAAACGATGTATAATAATATATACTTGTCCGATCTCGGTTTTTCAAACACACACAAACGCACATGTACACACTATACACCTAGGTATAATAATATGAGTTCTTAATATAAAATGGAATATAATAATAAATAATATATATGTGAGTGTTCGTTGTGCGTAAATTTTCTTCTCCCTCTTAGATATTATGCGATGTGTGTGTGTAGTCATGGTAACGCGCATTGCATTCACATGGATACGCATATAATGTATATACATGCACTGTACAGTGTATATATGCTACACCTATGGTATAATTTAATACTATAGTATATTATACCTAACGGCTGACATATGTAATACATAAAATATAATATATATTTCGTAGTCGTGTGTATATTATTCTGAATATGTACGGCGGCATACCTTTGATATACTTATAATATGTGAATTATGGGTACGTCTATATAATATACACTGCACACACAATATGGTTCTATATATACACCCATTATTGTCCTATCCGATGATTTCGATATGGTATGGATGGTGTCTTATAAATTCTACATATACATACATAAATTATTTATACGGTATGACATTCTTTTATTTAACACTTTATTGCTATGAAGTATACACACACATACATATATATATATATTTTATAATACCATCTTAACGTTAGCCTTTCTCTTCGCGTTCGACATATAACAGCCGCAACAATATATATATATATATAATATGACGAAATATGGTAAAATATTAAAATCAACTGATTGGTTAAACGGAATGCATCACTCACTCATGTATTAAACGTGATAATTATATAACATATCAACAATTATTTATTAGTTATCACATAGAAAATGGTGCGTAAAGTTGCAAATGGTGTTTTAAATGCAGTAAATCTTAATTCTATATAAGTTCTTCTGCTTACTGCTAGCGTTCATTTGTTTTTTATCAACTGGCTTATTAAAAATTGGGTACCTATAAGAACGAGTACCTCTTATATGTATTAAGATTGTTTTTCCACAAGTACAGTAAAACTTCTATATAACGAAGTCGTATGACCGTATGGGGAACCAAAAACATTTATAGTATATAGGAGTTCGTTAAAAAGAATTTATGCATGATTAACAATGAAGGTCATGGTTCTTAAAAATAATTCGTTAAAGAAAATGTTGTTAAATAAAAGTTTGACTGTATTAATAACCTACAGTGTTTGCCGTTTGGTAATAATTAAGAATGAAATTTATCTTTAAAATAAATGCTACTATTGAATGCGTCTTTATATATAAATCAGTCGCTCAAAAGTTGCTTATGCCTATAGGTTTATGCTTATATGTAATATGTATGTATTATTTACCTTATATAATCATTTTTTTTTCATACATCATATTAGTTATCTCTATTTAAGATAATTTTAATCATATTCTTACATTTATATATTCAAAGTTAACTATGAATTTTCAATTTTTATTTCTTTGATGAAATTTATTGTTTGCTTAATGGTTGATTCGTTCGGATCTAGGAACTGATAGAGAAACTGTGGAATGTTGTATTTGGTTCTAGTATTGTTATTAATTATATGACTGACAAACAAAATCGTTTTAAAATTTTAAACCACACTAAATGTTATTGTACATTAATTAGTATAATTTCAATTTTTTGTTTTATTTATTTATGTTTTATACATTACCTATATACCTACTTTGTATTTGTAGTTTTTTAAAAATTCTGAATCTGTTATTCAATAAAATATTTTGCTAAATGTTGGAAATACTTTATAAATTATAATAGTCTATGATATTTTTGATTAGAACCTTAAATATTACATATACAAATAATAAAAAAATGCATAATTCATGTACAAATTGAAATTTGGCTACCCTTTACATATTACCTATATTTGTAATAACTAGTAAGTTAACATTATCTATCTACATCTATAATTTATCTATATATTCCATATATACTCGTTGCATTCGCCATTCATACCAAATAATGGACTCATTGGAATAAATAATGATAATCTTCACCGTTTTTCTTACAACAATGACTAGATTCTTATGTATATTATAACTGCGCATCATTTCAAACATGATCGATCATCCTTGTAATGAGTCTAAAATGTCAAATCAATATATATGACACAGAAATTCATTCATACCAAACCGAGTTTTAACAACTGTAATAGCAATGTTATTTTAATTTCTAATTAGTTTTTATATGATCCACCAGCTAAAGCATTAACTACAACTATACATATATAACTGATTTTATTTCCATCAAAATGTTTGAATCATTATACAATTTAACATATAATTTATCATCATTTATACAATATTGTACGATTGTAAAAACTATTTTTTTCTTAGACAATCAACTAAATCGTAAGTAATTCATTTAATATCTATTATTGTTCAGTACCTATGTAGTTTTCATAGATAAAATAGTGTATGTTTGATTGAAATGTGTTTGTTGTACATCATGAACAAAACCTTGAATCATCTATTGAAACATATAATACAAACTAAGCTACAGGCTACAATACTAAACGGATAATCTTTATTCTTTTTTACGTTATAAGTATATTGTTTAATTATTTCGAGAATGTATTATTTATATATTTTAACAATTAGTTCTTCACCGATCGCCTTGACCGATTATAGCCATATTTTTTGTGTCGCACTTCACGATCTAACGGTTTTGTCATCGGGTTTTTTTTCAGTTTAGCTGTAGTTAATGGGTTAAACCTAAGTCTTAGGCCTTAGTCTTAGTACGTCGTTTGTATGCTCTAAAAACTTCATTGGAATAGCTGTTTTAACATTCTTCTTTGGTTAAAAATACAATTTAATGTAAAATTGTCTATAACAGTTATAATAATCAATATATATATATATGCATGTTTGAAATTTGAAATTGTTTATACTTGAATGGTAGGTATACTAATTAGCTATCTATTTTTCAATGTAATAAAACTATATATTCATGATATTTTTCAATGTGTCTATTTATACATACTTAGTTTGTAAAAATAAAAAACAGTAAGATTTTTTTTGATCAAACTCTTACCTTACAAGTTTTTAACGA